ATAATATGCGAGGACGTAATTCAATACTTTGAGCATGAGAATGATCGAGTTAAGTACCTCGTGATATTGTGTGAGGACGAAGATGAAGACACTAGCATAGCAGCGGCTGGAGCTCTAGCGATGCTAACGTCTGCCAGCGAAAAGGCTTGCGAGAAAGTTTTTGACTCGAAAGATTGGCTGGAATCTCTGCGCTTTTTACTCGCTAATCCAAACAGTGACGTACAACACAGGGGTATCGTAATTGTGCTAAATATGATGAGAAGCACTAAAGACGTCGCTGCAAAACTCATCGAAACGGATATAATGGAACTGTTAATGGCATTGAGCAAAAACGATACTATGCAAAACGAGAAGATCAAGGAATTGGCATCCACTGCTTTAGAGGCTGCTGCGGAATGGAAACTGATCAAGAAAAATGACGAAGAAATCGAATCGTCACAAAGCACTAGTGCAGAACATGTCGATTAAGGAGATTGTATGTATGAACATTTAGATACCATTAATTAAGATCTAAATGTCGTATATGTTCCTCATATTTCAAATCGAGTGCCTTAAACGATAAAGTGAATGTTACGATGAAATTTTTGAAATGTCATCGTTTTAAACATACTCTGATGCGATTATATTCATATTTATATATCTTTAAATATACGATCTCCGTGCAATATTACAGTTTGTTATATAAATTTGTCAAAGTGCAATATTTTTTTAATATTATATATTATATAGGACCGTATATGTGATAACACAAACTATAGAAATCAATACCATTTTTTTAATATATTGTGTGAAAAAATACATGCACGGAGATATTGTATATAAAGTTTTAGTAAATTAACTATGAATATATTTAGCATCATGAAGTCATAATTAGAATAAATAATCATTATCGCATCAAGATATATAAGAATAGTATATTTAAATACAATATTACATATTTATTTATAGATAATATCGTACATAATTATATGTTATACACCAAAAATATCGTTCATTTAACAACAAATACATTTACTTATAAGTCCTTTATAAAAATCAAATATATATTAGAAATTCTCTCAAAAAAACAATGAATTTTAAATAATAAATTAATTTGATTAATAATGTAAAATGTGGACAAAATACCAGAATGAAATGATCATATATCAGATCATTTTTCGTAACTTTCCTTTCCAATTTTAGTATTCATTATATTAAATCTCAAAAAATTATATATTTCAAAAAAAAATAAATTTTTTTGGATAATATAAGAAAATTCTTAATTTTCAACAATTTTACTTAGTCCGAAAATTTATTTTAATAAAAAGCTACAATTTACAAATAACAAATGTAATAAACTAAAACTGTAATTTTAACAAAATTGTAACAATTTAAAAAAATGTTTCTCTCCAATATTTAAAAACGCATGCTTTAACATATTCGAAAATGCATCAATATCATAAATTAAAAAATGGATGAGCCAATGCTTGCTCTGCAGTAATACGTGTCCTAAAATCTAAATCTAAAAGTTTCATCAAAAGATGATACGCTTCCTTCGGATATTCGATATCTGACGGTACCTTAAAGTTTTATAATGTTTTGAAATAAAAATAAAGATATTATATACATCTGAAGCAACAAGGAGAAAAATTAAACATAAAAATTTAATTTTCGCGTTAAAGGCAATTCTATTTGACAACAAAATAAAATTATATCACGAATATTCTACATTCACAATCATTTTAATATTTTTTAACATATGAAACTCAAAAAAGATTCAATCAATGATTATATCTACTTTCTCCTGCTATATTGCTTCATTAAATAAAAAAGACTATTTAAAATATAAACGAGATATACCTTATGTATACTATTCTGTATATCATACATCATACTTTTGTTTCTTTGTTTTAACTTTATGCACAAAGATTTAATGTCCATGCCTGGAAAATTTTCACTAAAGATAACCTTTTTACCTGAATTAAATAAAAAGAAAATAATTAACATAATATAAAAATTAATATAAAAAATTAATAGAAATTAAAGAAACGAAAAACAACTCGAATAAATGAATCAGAAAAAACTGAAATAAATAAATCATTTGTGTCATTATCGCAGTATTTGTTAAAATACCTAATTTTTGTGCACACTTTTGTACTTCTTTAGAGCCAAATATCGTTGTAATTTCTGCTAAAGCTGTACAGTCATCAGGTGAACGAAAAAACGGTTGTGAACCACTAAGTATGCATAGCATTATTACACCACAAGCCCAGATATCAATTGCTGAAATTTTATATTTTTCTTTTAGTTTTTACAGATGTTTCATTTCTAGAAATGGTTTTATGCATCGTGCCAGTATTAATACCTGATGTTTGCATAACATGTTTTAGTAAAACCTCTGGAGCGCGAAACCCAGGCGTGCCCGCACGAGGTGCCTGCTGCTGCGGTTCTTTCAAACATATTACGCACACTTTAGGTTTTCCAAAACAATTGCATTTATTATTCACGTTTCTCTTAGCAGCATCAGGTTGGAGGCCTACGTTATTCTAAAACAAATTACAACGAAAGATAAGGAAAACATGTAAATCATTTCAATATGTGATAACTTGTAAAATGTTACTCCACTTCATTCGATCTTTTCCGCTTTGTCCCATGTGCTTCAATGCTTTCTCCGCTTATTCTCATATTTTTCTCCACATGATATTCTTGCGCAAGACCAAAATCCACTAACAAATATCTAAATAAAAAATTGTGTTAATCATTTTTCGAGATGTAGAAAACAAAATATTCTCCTTTCGCACAAGTTTACCTTTTATTTTTACGATCATAGAGAAAGTTACTAGGCTTTACATCCCTGTGTATGATATGAAATTCGTGAACTCTTCTTAAAGCAGTTAATAGTGCTTTCATATAATCCTTTGTTTCGTCAACAGTCATATCTTGGACGTATTCCTTGTCGTAATTATCACTGTGAGTATTTTTGATCTTACAAAATAAAGACTTGAATGTAAATTGCAAACTTACCACAAACCTATCATGCCTCATATATGGCATTACAAATACTACTGAACTACGATGCCTCAAACACAATTCTAATCCAACGATATAATCTTTTCCTCTAAAATATTTAATACGGTCTCATTAATGTTAACCAATATTTATATGAAACAATGGTACATTGTTTCGGACTAAAATTTATCCAACGTACCCTATCTGTTGCAAATACTGCAATTCGCGTCTGATCCTATCGGGATGGCAGGTAGGAATTAATTGTTTCAACGCAAATTTCTTACGTTCGTCGGAAGACTTTAGAGTAGCCAGAAAGACAGAGCTAAACGCACCTTTCCCAACTTTGTAATGCACGTTGAACAACTTATTCACTATCGGAATTGATGACATAAGATTAGCACAGCTATCTGTTGGAATAACAATATATATCACACATTTTATTAAACTTATATATATTTATTTCATAAAAAACATTAAAATATTTATTTTGACAAGAATAATATCAATCCTCTGAATTTAATAAACGCCAAAATCTGTAATAAAATTATAATACTAGGTCTATAAGACCCATTTAATTTATATTAATTAAAAGGCACTAATTAATTTCAAAGAATTAAAATGATATAACTCCTGTAAAAAATAATGAATGAACTAAGTTTATCTCAATATGAATAATTCAAATTTATAGATTTAATATATAGAAAATTGAATTGTTTGACATTTTTGTTAAAATGATAATTACAATAATAAATAGAATTAAGAAGTAATGTTAAGATAAAAAATATATTGTATTTGAATTTAACAATAGTAAAAAATACATAATTATATTTAAGTCTACTATCAGTAAATTTAAACATAATAATGCATCTATTTTTTAACTTAACATTACTTCACAGAGAAAACTGAAACATCTTTACTCATCAGTATTATTAGGTGCTTTCCAATAAAAGATATAGATGACATATGTAACATAATGAATCATTGCATTCTTGTTGTTTGCTATGTTCAGGAATAGGCATGTATTTTAAATACTTTTAAAAACAATTAAAAATTAAAGAGCATAAAAAGCCAACGCTGGATGTTTTTGCGAAATTATTATAAATTCTTACGGAATTATACCAATTTAATTACAAACGTTTCGACACATTTATCGTGTCATCTTCAGTGTAAAAACAATTATTTTTTCATAACAAAATACAAAATATTCTCATGTGTTCCACTGAAATACAAAATTGTCTTATAAATATTATTTTTCAAATGAAAGTATTTCAAATACACGTCCATCTCTGCTAATATTAAACTAAGATGAAATGGTCATTGTGCTATTAAACTTCTTACTGGAAAAGCATCTAATTTGCTATCTGAATAATCACTGCATAAAGAATCTAATAAATCTATGTCAGCTCCGGAAAGTTCTGATTGAACAGAAGAGCTAAATTAAATAGAAGAATGATATTTTATAAATACTTTCGAATCATAATAATTAAATGAAATTTAATTCTTATAGTTTAATCCATAAATCACATTTATAAATCAATTAACAACAAAATAACATATACAAAATACTTTAAATACTGCACAAAATTGCTACTCCATGACAAAGATACTTGAGAATTTATCTAAAAAAATAACAGAACCCAATAGTTTGCTTTTAAAGTAACTAATGAAATAATAAAACTGCGTATATATTTATATAGTATAATGTAAATATATTTATATAACAAACAAAATAGCAATCTTTTTCAAGAGCAAGAATAATACCGTCATCACTGTCTTCTTGATACGAATCATTGGATTCCATCCTGTCTCCTATTTCTGGAATATTTTTAGTTCATAATATCAATCATGTCAATATGTTATCAAACTCACTTTCTTCTACGTCTGTGTCATTCACCGTTAATGATTACTTCGTACTTAATGATTAGCGTAATACAGCTGGCGTAACTTGAACATAACCTTGAACATAACCTTAGAAATTGGCGCCATATTCGCGCCATTTGTGGCGGGTGCAATAAAGGCCAATTCTCATGAGATTAAACTTTTTTTGTAAGTTAATACAGGGTGGGCCATCTATTGGTACGTTTTTGAATTTCGTCGTATGGCAACACCAAACGAGCTACAGACCCGAAATTTTGACAGTTTATTAGTCATACCGTCCGCGGCACGAAACAACATGTTTTCTCTTGAAGAGCGTTTTGAAATTTTAAAAACTTATTTTCAAAGTCAGTGCTGTGTCGCCGAAACTGTACGAATTTTGAAAAGAAATATGGGTCGTGATAGAGCACCCACCGAAGGAGCTATACGCAAATTGGTGAGGAAAGTTCGTGAGAAAGGGATGTTAGTGGATGACAGAAGTGGTCCCAGAGCTCGGACAGTGCGCACACCCGAGAATATTGAGGCTGTGGCCCAAAGTGTGAGACAGAATCCGACGACTTCAACTCGACGCCGATCGCAGCAACTGAGCATTAGTCGCACCAGCCTGAGGAGAATACTGCACAAAGACCTCGGATTATTCGCCTACAAGATCCAGATGACTCAGGAGTTGAAAGCAAATGACCATCCGCTTCGATATCAGTTTGCTGTGTGGGCTATAGACCAGCTCAATAATGACGTCGATTTTGGTCGAAAAATCATCTTTTCGGACGAAGCTCATTTCCATCTCGGCGGATATGTGAACAAGCAAAATTGCCGGATTTGGGGCTCGGAACAGCCACACACAATCGTAGAGAGACCAATGCATCCTCCAAGAGTCACAGTTTGGTGTGGATTTTGGAGTGGTGGCATAATTGGCCCATTTTTCTTCGAAAATGATGCTGGAAACGCCGTTACCGTCAATGGCGAACGCTACAGAGCCATGTTGACCAACTTTTTATGGCCTCAAATCGACACTATGAATGTGGACGACCTTTGGTTTCAACAAGATGGCGCCACATGCCATACAAGCCGACTTACCATCGACCTTCTGCGCACCAAGTTCAACAACCGCATAATCAGCCGTTCAGGAGATGTCAATTGGCCTGCGCGTAGCTGCGATTTGACACCGCTGGACTTTTTCCTGTGGGGTGCCGTTAAAGACCGATGTTATGCGGATAATCCAGAGACAATTCCAGCTTTGAAAAACAATATTACGACTGTTTTGAGTGAAATTGGCGCCGAGGTAGTCCAAAATGTCATTAATAATTGGGGTGACCGAATGGCATACTGTAAGGCCAGTAGAGGGAGCCACATGAACGAAATCGTTTTTCATTCTTGACGCGGATACTTTTAGCTTCACAACAAAAAAAAAATTAATAAAAAATATCAATGTATGCTCATTTGATCGCATTTTTAAAAACGTACCAATAGATGGCCCACCCTGTAGTTGGTTACAAGAGATAGAGAATTTCTGGAAACTCGAAAACCTTTCTATCCTACAACCAATTAAAAAATTTGTTCGAGTCAAATGAAGTACTAACCTAATTTTTTTTCTATATTAAACAACAAAAATATCAATAATTCTATGATTTTATAAATCTAAATTCTAATAAAATTAAGTATTAACATATTAAAAAATTACATGTTTAAAAAAGGATGTAGATATCACTTATTAAATCAATCACTTATTATAATCCAAAAAACAAACTTTCGAATTAATTATTCCGATCCTTTTCTTTCATTTATTAAATATAATAAATAACAAATTTTATATATATATATATTATTTTAAAATAGTACCAATAAAATAGTATAAATATTACTCGATAAGTTATAATTACGGATTTGTCGAATCGGCAAAATTGCTCAAAAGAAAATTTTGAATGATATAATCGTCACATTTCTAATTCTTTTCTTTACGTATGAATAACAATAGAAAATCAATAATTTTATCCGACAAAACAATTATACGTATATTACATTGTTTTTAAATTGCAATGATTACAATTTCAAAATTGATTTTTTGGACTGAAATATAAAATTCCTTTATTCTGCACGCGCGATTGGTTCATTTCTCCGCTCATCTATCCACATCTGTCTTGACTATTTTATGCAATTATTTGAATCTATCCGCGCAAATTTTTGCAGCTTCGGAAGATCTTGAACGATAAACAATTATTTAAATTACTTGCGATAATAATTAAAGCCATGCAGCTATTTCATGATTTACAAAACTATCTTGTAAGAATTTGTTTCTGTAATAGATTTATCGGAAGGTTCTCTCTCTCTCTCTCTCTCTCTCTCTCTCTCTCTCTCTCTCCACGAAGGTATAACATATTTAATATATAAAAATCGTACGAAATTGGAGATCAGTTCATTTAAGAGTTACGATAATCATATGGTTCAATATATAGTCAAGATAATGATTCCTATTCGATTGGGTCGAATGCATCGAGCGTTGCAAAAAATTACAGGAGGTCGCCACGTTCGACGACCTTGCTTTGACTTTGGGACGCCAACTTATCGCGGCTTGGCCTCGTCGAGCTGTGGTCGGCTTCGTGACATTACGTGTTTCGTTGGATTAGCAAGGCTTGTCATATCTGGTGGTACACGCCTCTTCTTTAGGGATATCGCGTTAAACGGAGTAACAACAAGAAACACCGTCGCAATGGCACTCAACAAGCTCAGCATCGATAAGGTGGAGCTGGCGGACAAGAGGGTGCTTATACGGTACGGTTCTCTGAAAGAAAGTCTTTTTATGTTGTTTTGCTGTACTGGACTACACTTTCCTTATCGCTTTTGCTAAATTTTAAATTTACACTTATCCCGTACAGAACGAATCATTCCAGCAATGTTGCAGCATTATTGCAACATTTCAACAATATTGCAGCAACATTGCAACGTTCCAGCAATATTGCAGTAACAGTGACAGTGTTCAAGACAGAGAAAACAGCTTTGCAACTGTTCTTTATAATATGATTAATTTACACATTTAGATAGTGAAAGGCAAGACCAATCATATCGAAGAATTTTACAACAGTTGCAAAACTGCTCTTTCTGCTGAATGTAGTCATTACTAATGTTATAGCAATGTTGCTGCAAGTTTAGTGCTGTATATTTCATTTGAGTATAAAAAGTATACAAAATAGTTTAGAAAAAACAGACCTAAAATCTTTTTAAGAAAAGAAGGCAGCAAGGTACACAAATATAATGGAAATGTAATAGAACAAAATAACTTTTTAGGGTTGACTTCAATGTACCGCTAAAGGAGGGTAAGATAACAAATAATCAGAGAATCGTCGCTGCGCTGGACACAGTGAAATATGCCATTGATAAAAAGGCCAAGTCGATCGTGCTAATGTCTCATCTGGGCCGACCAGACGGTAAGAGGGACGAGAAGTATACATTGAAACCTGTGGCCGAGGAACTGAAAACTCTGTTAGGAAAAGAGATTCTGTTTTTGAATGACTGTGTCGGACCAGAAGTAGAAACTGCTTGCGCCAATCCAGCACCCGGTACTATTATTTTGTTGGAAAATCTAAGATTTCACGTCGAGGAGGAGGGAAAAGGAGTAGGTTCCGATGGAAGTAAGGTATGAAAGATTATTTTCATTATTCAAGTACTTTAATTACTTTAATCCTGTACAATCTGGATATTTTTTAACACAAGCTAAATTGAACAAAAGTAGAAAATTTTATGCTCAACATTTTTGTGTTCAAATTTAAATGTTTATTATAATAAAGATTTTAAACCAAATTAACATTTGAGTTAAAGAACTATTTGATAATATAATAGAGATGTTAGAAAGTAACTCTGAATTTTCCACATTTTTTGAAATCCTAGAATAGCAAAAAAAACTTTATTCGTACAAAGAAGATTTAGATTACAAATGGAAGAAGTAAAAATATGATTGCAGATATTAATTTAATCCTTAGGATTGGGTTATTCATGTCCTGCATATATTTTTGAAATATTAGGAGCATCTGGCTAAATAAAAATTTCTTTTCTTTTTTTTAATACACAACTTTATCAATACTTTCTAAAAATGTTAGAGTATATGTAAGAATCACTTCATAATTTTTGTATGCTTGTAAAAATGTTGAAAATTAATTTCGAACGTTTAGGATCCATCGTATGTAGTAAAGAACCGAAAAATCACGTGTATTAAGAATTAATTCAATGTAAACTATCTTAAAATATGTAAAAGTATGATACTTAAGACTAATATATCAATTTATTTTAGATTAAAGCTGACAAAGATAAAGTTGTTGAGTTTAGAGCATCTCTGAGAAAGCTAGGAGATGTGTATATAAACGATGCCTTTGGAACCGCTCATCGTGCTCATAGTTCTATGATGGGAGATGGATTTGACATAAGAGCAAGCGGTTTTCTGTTGAAGAAGGAACTCGCATACTTTGCGAAAGCTCTGGACAATCCAGAAAAACCATTTTTAGCTATACTCGGAGGGGCTAAGATTGCTGACAAGATTCAATTAATTAATAATCTTCTGGACAAAGTGAACGAAATGATTATTGGAGGTGGTATGGCCTATACATTCTTAAAGGTGTCCAAAGGAATGAAGGTACGTAATATTTGGTAAGAATTGTAAACAATACTGATATCTAATTAAATATTTCTAATTAAATATTTTTACATTTATGTGATTCTAGATTGGAAATTCGTTATTTGACGAAGAAGGAGCAAAAATTGTGAACGACCTATTAGATAAAGCAAAAAAGAATAATGTCCAAATTCACTTGCCGGTGGATTTTGTGACTGCCGATAAATTTGCAGAGAATGCAGCAGTAGGAGCTGCGGATGTTGAGAGTGGTATACCCGATGGATGGATGGGTCTTGATGTTGGTCCAAAATCAAGAGATTTGTTTGCAGGTAAGTACATTTTCTTCATTACTCGCAGTAAATTATTGTAAATTTAAAAAGAAATATACAGTAGCTGCCAAAAATTTTCAACTAATGAATAATTTATTATATTCCTTAGATAAAGAATCTTTACAAATAAAAGCTCTAACATAAAAGTATTTAATACACATATATTCTATTTAAAATATCGTGTTCTTAGTTACATATTCAAATTAATTATAACAAGAATTTTATTAACTTATAAACTGAAAAACAGATTAACACATAAAAATTATCTTAAAAGTATATGTTTTTTTGTCAGAAACTTTTAGCAGCCACCGTATATGTAATAATGCATTAAGTATTTGACATTAGAAGCATTACTAATTATATTATCTTGATACAGAACCAATTAAAAGAGCAAAGGTGATAGTATGGAATGGTCCAGCGGGAGTGTTTGAATTTGAGAACTTCAATAAGGGTACGAAAAGTTTAATGGACAATGTCGTTGAAGCCACAACTCAGGGAACGATTACTATTATCGGTGGAGGTGATACGGCAACGTGTGCAGCTAAGTGGAAAACGGAGGATAAAGTGAGCCATGTGAGCACCGGTGGTGGTGCAAGTTTGGAACTTCTGGAGGGTAAAGTATTGCCCGGAGTTGCCGCTCTCTCTTCATCGTAAATCTGTCTTCGAAATATCAATGTGAAATAAAATAATGACCAATTGTTCTGTGACGTAACGTTCATCAGTTCTATAGAAATTTAACGAGTAGCGTTTGGATGTTGGGGTCATGATTTCTTCCACCATGATTGGAGTGACAAAGGTATTAGTCAAATTTGGCGTTAGTGAGATTAACGTAGAACAAAGACATATCTATTTTTTATTTTTAATTTGTCAATGTAATCATGTTGCTTTGTTTTTCGGAATCCCAACATTCTTTTACGAGAAATATTGAAGTTATACGTTGGCATACTCTTAGATCTCTATGGTACAATTGTATTACTGTACAGTTTAGCTGTACATAACGCATCAGATGTGTATATTATGTGCGAAATGTAATATACTAAGACAATATGTATCTTCTATACTAGCTATTAAGTAAATAATTGTAAGGAGAGACAGTTGCCGTTATACTAATAATGTAATCGTCCCTGCACGGTAAAAAGTTCGCTCATAGTTTGAACACAAACTTCGGATTACTCTGCATCGTATTAAAATGTAAATATTAACTTTTATTTAATAGAGTAATTATATACTTTCGGCCATCTGTATAATGTCGAAAATAAATACTGAACACATTTTTATGCCTTTTTTCATGTCTATGTACTAAACGGCTTGACATATGTATATGTAATTGTGAAATTATATTTTTGCAGTAAATAACTATATACATATACAAGATGTATAACATAACAGTGCGCACAATTTTTTAGGCATTTCCGACAGGTTTAATGAAATTAGAAGGTTGTAGGATGA